AGGTTCGTAGTTTTGGCGATCCATGCAAAAGATCAAGGAGGAAATCTGTATAGGATTTCCTTCTCCTTAGGGAATGGGGGCGGGATCCAATTCTGGCTAGACCCTTGGTTAGGCCATGAGCCGCCGAGGACGGGATTCCCCTTGTTGTTCTCGATCTGCTCTGACCCGCGATTAGTTGTTCTACGACATTTCGAGCTGGAGAGTGGGATATCCAGTTTTGTCGCACCTTCGGCCAAGCAGAGAGGGACGAGTGGGCTATACTACAGGCTGCCCTGCCATCGGTGTTACTGGACTATCTGGACTCCATGTCATGGCGGCTATCTCCGACCGTAGAGTTTTCGGTGCGCACGGCATACCATGCTCTATGCATGTCTCCGAGCACCCCTTGGCTTTCTCTCTTGTGGAAAGCCCCTTTACAATTGAAGATTAAGATCTTTGTGTGGCAGTTACTACGCGATCGCCTCCCTTCAGGGACTGGGGTCCTGAAGCAGCACGACTCGGGTGATGGCCAGTGCCCCATTTGTGCGGCACTGGAGACGGGGACACATATCCTGCTGTCTTGCATGACGGTGCGGGTACTTTGGACGTACGTCCGTGAGGCGCTGGGGCCCGAATGGGAGGCCCTCAACCTCGTGGAGTTCGTCTAGTATAAGGCTACACATCGTACACGGCACCGATGCTTATTTTGTCTTATCTTTGCGGAATTGTCTTGGACACTATGGACGACTCGTAACAAGTTGGTGATCAAGAAGGTCACCCCGAGGCAAGCGTCTGACTCCATCTTCAATTTTCTTGCCTTTTTACAGCACTGGTTTCTGCTCTCGATGTAGCGTGATCGTGATCTCCTCGGTCTCATGATGGATGCGCTTTTGGTTACGGCCCATCGACTATCGGCTTCGTAGGGCCACTTGGCAGCAACCACTAGGCGGCGTTTGTTCTAATTTCTTTCTTCTTTCTTTGGGCATGATTGTGCTGCTGCCCCAGCCATTGCCTATGAGTACACTGTTGGATGTTGGTTCTTTAGACTGTTGCTTTATCTATATAGTGAGGCGAAAGCCTATTTCGAGAGATGTCAGATTAGAACCGTTTCTACACACTAGATGAAGATGCAAACTTCCTATTTACCTGAGGCGAGAAGAGCCCTTGTCGTGCCATACAATGGAAGGACAAATCATTTGGATTCAGTCTGGCATAACTCACATGGAGAGGATAGAGATACACGGGGAGATACATTAGGTTGTACATTTCAGATTACATCAATATACTAACCACTAAACATACGTCTAACAATGGAGAAGGGATGGAACGTCAATAGGCGAGGTTCGCGGAGGATGGGCGGGTCAATTTGCGTTGGTGCATGGCTCATGGTTAGGGGGCATCGATGGCAAGTTGCAGTTGGTCGCTGGAGCCGGGCTGCTGCGACTCCTCATAGGCTAGGTATGGTGATTGCGACCATGATGTGAGCACTTTCAGTAAACTGTAAATCCCAATATGGTTAATCGCTCTCTAGGGATAGGGTGAATTGACGAAAGTAATTTCAGCGCCATAGTGTACGCCACAACAACCTATTGACTCGGCATGCCTTATAGAGCTTGTCGACATGCTCAATGTTCGGTTGGCTGCGAACCAAAACTATGCGCACCATCCTTCGCAGCCTGTCCAAGTGTAGGTGCCCAAGCCGTGCATTCCAATGCCAGGCGTCGGATACATGGCCCACAATGAGGCACACTGGATGACCATGTTTGAAATGAATGCTTGTACAAGTGATCCGTTGTACGCGTTACCTGGGTGAGGCGGCGGTTGCACTGATCGTGCACGGTGAGCACCCCATGCAGGCGAATGGCGATATGGCACCAATTCTCGTCGAGCTGGCCGATGCTGACAACACCGATCTCTAGTCCTGGGATGAAGACATCTATGAATGGCTGCTGGTCTCCCCTATCGATCGAAAAGACGACAATCCCGTGGCCGTGGATCTCATTTGGGAACCATACCTTTCCGGAGATCGATCAGTCCATTTTGGCGAACGCGTCAACCGATCCTGTCATGTGCTTCGTCACGCTTGTGTGAAGGAAGTTGGTTGCTGCCATCGTGCGTGGGCATGATCATCGCCTTCTCCCCGTTGAGGAAGACGCGACCGTCGTGCGTGGGCTTGTAGTTTTGACCAAGCTCGGGATTGCGACCTTGGATCCAGTACTAAGAGACGTTGAGTCCTCCTGGATGGACTTGACGTAGGCCATCCTCAGCCCTGGTCCCTGAATCTCCTCGGCCTAGATGAGATTTGCCACCGCAGCGACCGCCTCGTAATGCTGCTTCTTCCAGCACAAGCAGGCACACAGACCCTTATTGCCGCAATACCAATATGTCTGGATCATCACAATTGGCTGGAGATTTCCACCTGCGCAAAACGGGATGGGACGATGGAAAGAACATTGTAGACTACCGTGGTCGTGGATGCCGTCATCTAGGGAGCAAAGCTAGGTTCTGAGGCTGGTGATCCTCATGGCGGAGTAGTCGACTCGTTGGCATCCTTGAAGATGATGGACTCACACTCCAGCCGCAGTTTCTTAGCGTTCGCCTCGCGCAGATGGGCACTGTAGAGGTGTTGGGTTTTGATCGAAGCCCACGCCTCCCTGGCGCTCACCTTCCCTGCGAGCATGTTGTGATCAGTGCTGCCAGTGCCTACTTGTCATCTCTCCACATGGTGGTGTCATCCTTAATGCCGTCCCACCGGCACGCCGGCTCTAGGTTCACTTCAATCACCAGGACCGAGTTACTATAGTTGGTGTAGGTGATCATCGGGAAGGAGAGGCTAGTGCCTCTACCACCATTGGTCTCACGCACAACCTCCCTTATCATGATCTCATCGCCCACGTTGCAACATGTCCTAATGCGCCCGCGGCTCAGCAAGCTATGTCGCTGCTGCCACGGCGTCGTCTTGAAGCCGTCGGAGGCTAACTGCTTCTGCGGTGGCATCTTAGAGCCATCGATGGCGTCTTAGAGACATGGTCGCCTGGATAAGGCTCTCGGGGTCCAAATTATGAATGCTCGGGAGCATTTTCAATAGCTACTCAGCGTGTAGCCGTGTACTACTACTTGAAGCTCTACTGATTGAAGTTGGATGCTTTCTCTTTTAGAATTGGGCACTGAATTTTGACAGGGACAACAATTTCTTAAAGAGCTCTCTCATTATATTCTTTTAATTCACTATGCTTCATAATTTTGAAGCTCACCCATCCGACTGAGGTATTCAAATTTGGATTTGGTTCACATTTTGTCCAGGTCAATGATTTTTTCGTATCAATCGGCATCAACCAGTTTTTGAAAACGTAACAATCTCGCGCACCCCTTGGCCACCTAGAAAAAAGGAGCGCAAACATGCGATACTGTAGCACCAATATAAGTATGGACTGATTAGAAGATAGGGATAATTAGTTTTATAACCTTAGTTGTCTCCCCCTCGCCAGGATAGTCCCTAGTTTCTGAAAACACGTGGTCTTGCCCAACCCACTTTGGCGTCTTCTGCATTTGTCCTTTGACCGTTTGACCATTACATTGAAAACTTCATAACTAATTCATACTAAATCAGAAAAATGCAAATAAGATACCAAAATGTTTAGAAAAACATCACTTGTATGTCAATGTCACTTGTATTCATGACAAAAGTGTTGGTAAGTTCCCATATGTGTTTTAGCTCTTATCATACCACCATGAACAATAAAATCTAAAAAATTCAAAAAAAATTGGTGGCAAAGAATGACAAATGTTGTAAGTGCTTGCCAAGTTTCATCAGGGAATGACATTCGTGGAAGTCGTGGCAAAAAAGAACAATCTATTTTCGAGTGTTGATTTTTTTTTGCCACGAATGCCATTCCCTGATGAAACTTGGCAAGAACTTACAACATTTTTCATTCTTTGCCAGCAACTTTTTTCTTTTGGATTTTTTGATTTTTTTTAGATTTTACTGTTCACGGTGGTATGATAAGAGCTAAAACACGGATGGGCACTTACCAATACTTTTGTCATGAATGCAAGTGACATTGACATACAGGTGACGTTTTTCTGAACACTTTGGTATCTAATTTGCATTTTTCTGATTTAGTATGAATTAGTTATGAAGGTTTCAAAGTGACGGTCAAATGGTCAAAGGGAAAAAGCACAAGACGCCAAAGTGGGTTGGGTAAGACCACATGTTTTCAGAAACTAGGGGCAATCCTGACGAGGGGGGCAGAACTAAGGGTATAAAACCAATTATCCCTAGAAGATCACCAAGAATCAGACCGCGAAAGGAGCACAAAACACTGTAGTATAATGATAAATAAAATAAAACACACTCCATCATCTCCCCAACTCGCCAAATCAAATACTCCATCGGTTCCAAAATATAAGGTGTATTAGGTTTTGAAAAGACAAATTTCTTTAACTTTGACCAAATTCAGTTGATAACGAATATAATGACGCTGGTTTGATATTATGGATATTGATATATTTTTTTTATACAAATTTGGTGACACTTAAAGAGGATTGACTATTCAAAAAACCATTGCACCTAATATTTTCAAAAATAAGGAGTAAAAAAATTATGAAAACCCAATAACACGAACGTCGCAGCAAAGTGCGTCCAATCCTTCTAGTACGTCGGGTAGGCAAACCGGAGCCCCTGTCTGGGGCTGGACTTGCACAAATTCTGACCGGAATTAGCACCCACACTATTTGTTTTATCCCGGGGAATTAATGGGATGAATTCACTACATTAATTGCAAAAGTAGGTCGCGTGCGTGTGAGTAGAAGTGCCAAAAGGGGCTGCATCGGCCGCGTGATCCAGCTTGGACACACACTCACACTAGCGCAGATCGAGAGGCACAGCCGCTGGTGACACACAACTGGTAACGTAAGCTTCTCCTCCCTCCCACCCCTCTCCATCTCCATCTCCATCTCCATCTCCGACGACTCTGCTCATCTCACCGCGCGCGTAGGCAGGTGCGGCAGCCAGGGGAACTATGACGGGGCAGCCGCCAAGGCTCGTGTTCCGGTTCACCCAGGCGGAGGTCGCCAAGATGGAGGAGGTCCTCCGTGAGCTCGACGCCAAGCCCAAGCGTCCTGTCATCCAGGGCCTAATCGATCACTTCAACGCCTCCCCGGACCGCTCAGGCGACGGCAAGGTCCCCGTCCAGTACAATCAGGTACTACTAGGTTTCCCCTCCCGGTACCTAGCTTGCCCAAGATCGGCTCCGCCCTATCTCCTATTCGGATTTATACATGTGAATTTTGTTGGGTGGGCGCAGGTGAGAAATTGGTTTCATAACCGGAGGTCCGTGCAGTCGCAGCTGTCTAGGACCACCCGGGGCGCCCCGCCACCGCCGCAAGGGAAGATGATGCTGCCCACGGTGGCTGAGGAACACAACCCAGTGGCTGGATTCTACTCAGGTGCCGCTGGAATGCCAATATTAACTTTAGCTACTGATAGTTAAGTTGCTATGGTGATACATGATGCAGAAGCTCTCGTGGTGCAGAATCTAAGTCCATATACAGTAGGGGTATACCTCTCTCGATGTCTAGGGCTTTTTGTTGCAAGGTTTTGCATGGCGCCAAGTTTGTCGTCGTGCTGACTCTGATTACTCGTTCATGCCCATTTGGGAAATTGCACGCCACGCGCTTCGTGCGCCGTTACTCTTATGCGTGTGAAGCTTGTCGTCATGCTGTCTTGATACGTCGTTGGCGCCCATTTGGGAAATTGCAGGACACGTGGTTCGAGTGCCGTTACTTTTATGCAAAACTACAGGAAAAAAAAATGGCAATCCAATTAATTTTGGCGGGCCGATCAAAACATGTTGTTTCGCTGTCTCAGTCGTTCAAGCTCAATTGGGATATTCCTGGACACGTGGTTCGTGCGCCCATTTCTTTTATTGAGAACTGCAGGAAATTTTTTGAACTCAAGTTAATGTCGTCGGATTCTAGGACATTACAACCTAGCCTGTAGTTCTTTGTCTTTGTGCGCCAACGCTTGTCGCCGCGCTTTCTCAGTCACGAGGCTCATTTCGGCACTTGCAGGACACGTGTTTCATGTGCCCTTTACTTTAATTTATTCAGAACTCTAGCCCACATGGCGCAATTTTAGTGTTCGTCGTCAAAAGATTTTATTTTTGTAACCAACCAAACACGTGCCATGCACCATGTTGATTATTGACACTGTCGTTACCGATCAGGGAATAGTTCTTCGGATGGTGTCCATGTCCAGTTTGAAGCACTGTCAGCTAGAAATGGCGCATGGTATGAAGATATATGGGTTAATTATCCTTTTGCCCTCAGTGATGTCCATGTGCTTAGTTTTGCCCTCAGATGCAAATTGTCCTCAGTTTTGCCCCTAGTCCGAGCACAGCAACTACGACGAGGCCAAACGGCCATATTTGAGTCCATTCCGTCCGCCGGCGTTAGTAGTTGTGGGTCCGGAGCTTACACGTGGGACCGCGTGGACGTGGGTCCGGAGCTGACATGTAGGCCCCTGCAACTAAATCCCCAAATCATTCTAGCTCACACCCATCCGCCCGGCCGGCTGTCCTGCGCCGCCGCCGCCGCCACCTGCGCCGCGGCCAGCACCTGCCCCGCCACCAGTTGCACGGCCTGCTCCGCCGCTACCTCCCTACGCCTACGCTCCACGGCTCATTGTGACGCCCACCACCTTCCTGCGACGCCACGGGTGGGGCGCCCGCCACCTGCTCGATTCGCGGCGCGGCCTCCTTCCGTGCGCCCGGCCGGAGCGCTCAAAGGTGGGGGGCTGCTGGAGCTATTTGAACTAGGAGGAAGAACCCTAGGGCGAAATGGTGAGCAGCGGCGACCCCGGAGTATTTGGCGAGGCAGGCATCGGGCCGGAGATCCGCCGCGTCCACGACTGGGTTCCCGAGGGGTAAGTCTCGCCTCTTGTTTAGATTGAGCTTAGTTGTGCATTTGAACACTCGATTCGAGTAGGTTTGCCCAATTAGTGTGCTGATTGCGTCTCTGTTTTTCGCCGGTTAGGATGGAGTTGCGGTTTGCTTTCATGGTGCACATTAGAAGGGACCGGTACATGAGGTTGTTCAATGGTAAACAACATGCTATGGATTCTATTTATGGTAACTGGCAGGAAAGTTTTCAATTGTTGTATTCATTCAAAGGTGAAGTGGAGAGGACAAGCCCAGGTAGTATTGTAGATATTGATCACCACACCGTGGAGTACACATTCAGGGGAGTGACAAAGACCAAGGAATGCTTTAGAAGGGTTTTTGTCTGCTTTGAGGCTTGTCGCCGGGGTTTTTTGGCAGGCTGCAGGCCTTATTTGGCTATTGATGCCACTTTTCTCACAGAAAGGTTTAAAGGACAGTTAGTAGCAGCTTGTGCAGTTGATGCACATAGTTTTGTATTTCCAGTTGCCTATGGTGTGCTGGAGACAGAGTCTGAGGAGAGCTGGACTTGGTTTTTGCATAATCTCCGCCGGGCTATTGCACATCCCAATGGGTTGGTCATTCATACAGATGCCTGCAAAGGTTTAGAAGTGGCCGTGGACAATGTGTTCCCTGGAGTAGAGCATAGGGAATGCATGCGTCACCTTGCTGCAAATTTCATGAAGAAATTCAAAGGAAAGGTGTATACCGACAATTTATGGCCAGCATCTTTGACATGCAGTGTGAAGAAGCACAACTACCACTTGAGGCAGTTATACATGAATCCCAAAGTGAAAGAATACTTGGAAACACACCACTCCAAGTTATGGGCCAGAAGCCAATTCAGTGAAGTGAGCAAAGTTGACCGTCGAACTCACCCGCGCCTTCCTCAGAGCCGGCTATGCCCACCTCCCACGGGGCTCGCCGAGGATGTTCACCCTCAACGAGGTTCGTGACCGCGGCGGCATCCTCCTACTGCTCACGCTCACCTTCACCAACCCATTTGACGCGCGCGAGCTCCTCGGCCAAGTCTTTTGGTGCGGCTGCGAGGCCATCTTCTTCACCATCTACAACATCTACACCAACTATGAGCGCATCTTCCCCGCTCCAGGCCAGATGCACTCCCTTCCCTACGACGACGAGGAGGAGGTGTGAAGATGAAGATGGTGTTGAAGGGGCGCGCGCGGCCAAGGTGGAAGAAGGAGGTCAAGATGAAGATGTTCAAGCCCGGAGTCAAGCTCGTCATGTTTGGTTTTTTATTTTGTTGCTTTTCTATGTCATGTCGTGTCGTGTCATGTTTCATCATGTGTCCGTGAACTGTCCGTGAACTTATCTAAGTTATTGTAATGGTACGGTGTGTTCCATCTTATTATGTGTGTTAAAAAATGTCCGTGCCCAAACTTATCATTTCTTCCCTAAACAAGTCATGAAGTTCGAGAACTTGTGGTTTTCGGAGGGGGTGAGAAGCCCTCTGTTTCATTCAAACAAAAAGTCATGAACTAACATGTAAATTTATTCCCTTTAAATCCTAAACCAAGTGCCACTCTAACCCTAAACCAAGTGCCACTCTGACCAAAATCATGTGGTAGTGCAACATACATTTTCAACCTTCCAACCCTCCAAAATTTAAGTGCAAAACAAAGGAAAACCACTCTCACGCGTGTGCAAACATTCACAGTCTCACTATTTTTTTTAAAAAAATTCACAGTCTCACTATGTATACCTTCCTTCCCTACCCATGTCAAAGTCTTGCCATTTGTCCTAGCGGTTACCAGCGCAGCCCTAAACACCACAAACCCACGCGGTCCTGGGTTCGAGTCCCCAGCCGCACCAATTTTTTGTGCATTTTCCACCCTTCATTTTTTTATACATATTATGTTTTCCTCAATGTAATGCCCTTAAAAAATGTTCATTTATTTTGGCACCTGGCGTAAACCTCTACCAGAGCTGAGGCACATTTTCCATGACATTTTGGTCTTTGATTTAAATCACGGTGTATTTGAATTGGATTAATTAACAGCTCCAAAAAATTTCTAACCTTAATTGTTTGGCTCCGGAATAATTCAATTAGCTTCCACAAAAAGTTTCAGCATTATGATTTACTGCCTAAATTAAATCAGAATAGAAAACAAAAAAATACGCAAGAAAACCCCTGAATGGGCCTAATTGGATGCAGTTGGCCCATTAGTCTAGCCTGCACTTGGCTCTACGCTCTGAATTTGGCCCAAGAGCAACCTTTTTTTCGGACAGAAAGGCAGAGCAGAGAGCTGCATTTCATTGATCAAAAGTTTCTGAATTCCTAATTTCTTCTCTTTTTTTCCAACATATTTAAATGTTGGTCACTTCTTCTCTTTTTGTTTCAACATTTAAACAACTTTAACCAACATTTAAACTAGGTGAATTTCTCAAACAATTTCAAGATTACAAATTCCTTCATAATTCATGCCTTTCCATACATTTTCAACATTACAACCGGTGCGATTACCATACCTACAAATGCCCAAAAGTATTTGCAAATGGGTATTGGTAGTGCTTGATCTTCAAGCTTCCTAACCTTCTTCTTCAACATCCTAAGCTCAATAGCTAGCTCTCTGTCAGTGCGTGCTTCGCCATCCATCTCTTCTTCCGGAGCTCGTGGTGTGGCCACTGCCGTTCGTGGCAGCATGCGCAACCATTCTTCATGCTCTTCTTGCAGTTCATTCATCAGAGTCTTGGCCAGAGCATCGACCCAAAGAAAGAAGCATGTCACCTGCATGAACACTAAACAGATCAACCCATTGCTCAAACATCCCGACGACGAAAATGGTGCAATTGCCCCGATTCTTACCCCATTCTCGCTGCACACGTAGAACGGACGATTCTGGTTCCTCGGTGTCTGAAAAACCCTTCGATCAACGCCCGCCCGGCACCGCGGACAGACGAAGACAGGCATGTCCACACGCGCCCGGCTCTGCATCCGCGAGGTGGCGCGGGAGCTTGAGGAAGACATGGAGCTCGGAGCCGAAGGGGATCTCAACGCCGCCGCGCCCTCCACTGCTAGCTTCCCACCGCCGCGCCCTCCACAGCTAGCTTCCCGCCGCCGTGCTCTCTCTCTCGCCGTGGTCACCGCCGTGCTCTCTGTCGCTGTGGTCACCGCCGCTGTCGCCCGCTTATATAGCACACCCGCCAACGGCTCTCTGCTCAACGGCTCTTTGCTGGGTCCCACAAGCCACGCGTGCAACGGTCTGAATAAAATTGGCCGTTTCTGCCGCCTGGTCCCACCTGTAAGGGCCGAGTCAAAAGGTTGACCTGACGGAGACGACAGAGTTCACGGAACGAGTCGGTGCGCACGGACTAGGGGCAAAACTGAGCACAATTCGCATCTGAGGGCAAAACTGAGCACATGGACACCACTGAGGGCAAAAGGATAATTAACCCAAGATATATACATATTTCACCATTTCCTCCTTTGTGTCATTTGATGTCACATGTGGTCTATTTTTGTGATTTAATTTTCCGCGCGCGTAATGTGTGGGTGGGTCTGTGTTGCATGAACCATTCAGTTTTATATGCCTGACTAATCCTTGTTGTTTCAGGTACGATGTTGCTGCCTTTCTGAACTACAGGTTCTCTGAAACGAGGGACCCGGTAATGACCATAGAACTTTTTGGTAAATAGGATTGATGTTACTAAATTCATTTTTGGCATTCTTTATTCAAGCACTTTGCTAGCACTAAAGCTAGAGATGATTCTGGTTCTCGTCTATTTATAGTTGGATAGCGTCAACACTTATAGCAGGAACAGTATTGATGTTTAAACATTTTGAACACTTGTTATCTAACTTTGTGTTGCTCAAGTCCTGTGTGTTGGGGAAGTATCACTCCATCCTTCTTTACACTTTTACAGGATGGTACTGATAATGTACTGGTCAGTTAAGTTGACTTTAAGTACCTTGTGCATTTACTACTTTAGGCTGATACTAGGTGGTATAAAGCTTACTTTCAACATCTCTGTGTTTTGTCATGTAAAACAAAATATAATTTGAATGTTTCTTTTAAGATTATATAGCAGTGTAGACATACCAGAGTTCTAAAAACGAAAAAGTTAGTTCACCCCCTTCAGTTATCATGAGAAGCAATTTTAAACTTTTAACCACAATGCTATTTTTACCAATAACCACAATGCTATTTACACCATTGAGCTATGAAAACTGAAGCAAATCAAATTACAATGGTGGTTTTCTTGTCAGTTTGGTCATGTAGCGAGCACATTCAGCTGCATTGCCACCATGGACCCCCCCCCCCCTCACCCATTCTACCAATCCCATGATTATATAGTCGGCATCGGGAAAATGTTAGATATTTGATATGGTGCGAACGTGCAAGATAACATCCTAACGCGCAACACAATTTGCACCACCTAACAGCGCATAGCTTGCCGTGATGATCTGATCATCAATGGCGTGGCCCTGATGACGGCCATCGCACTGTAGTGTCCTCCAAAATGGATTATCATGTTAATTCTGGTCCTCCCAGCTCCACAGGACTTTGTGATTGTCGGTTCAAAATCAAGTCCTAGCTGCTCCTCTTCCTCACAACTCTGAGCCAAAGTGCCCTCCTTCTGCCCCTAGGTTCCTTTGGACGCTAGCAACAACCTTTTCTTCATAAGGGAATAGCTCCATGTATTACAACAAATGCAGCAAGCTAGCAACAACGTCCTGTACCAACATCAGTGCATAATATTATTATTTTCAGTGAATACCAAGGAGCAAATTCCAGAATCTTCCCAAAAGAGAAGACCCAGAATCTGTGCTAATTTCCAAATTAACTAACTGATCCATCAAACTCTGTGCTAACTACCAGTCATCTACACCATGGCAGTACTACCTGCCAAAACTTTGTTTCTTGATGTTTGTGCCAGAGTTTGATGATTTGCCATAATTCTAGTATTTCTTGCTTCCAGTTATTAATGGAGAATCACAACAGCAGTCATCATATTGTTTTGGACTCTTAATTAGTTGCCTCCACACACACCAAAGGAAGAGGTCACATCCATAGTACAGAAATCACTTTGCATCATGTGGGTGTAGTGTATGTACAAAGTGCAGAGGGTAAGCATGTTTCACGGACACCCAAGGGCTGGTGGGGAGTTGCACAAATCTTCGAGTCCTAAGTGATACATGTGGTTAGGAGTGATTTGCGCTTCTTTTCACAGTCAAGGGTGAAAACTACACTCGCTCATTTTCCAAGAACTATGCAATACCCATGTTCCTCTAGTGTTTAATCACTCTCCACAACGGTTTCAATACGTGTGCATTATGCCAACTGTGCTTGCACTTATTTTTTTTTCAGGAAGTACTAGTTCGGTTTTGTTGGCTTGGACCCGAGGAGGATGAATGGATTGATGTTTGTAAATGTGTGAGACTGCGTTCTCTTCAATGTGTTGCTGTGCTTCCTGGGGATCTTATTCTTTGTTTTAAGGTACCGATCTTAAACGATTTCTCTTCTCCTGACTTGGCAAGTGAGCATCTCACAACTTGATAATTGTTGTCTTCTTGCAACTTTAAGTTACTCTTTGGAATACAAATCCAGTTTATTTTAACAATAGGATATGTATCCAATCCCTCACAGCTGCTACATTTTTCCTTTGTTATGCACTTGAAAATTCTGCCCGTTAACTTATTATTCCACAGTTACTTTCTTTCTGTTACTGTTGGCCTGTGATAGAGTGATGGGTATGTCGTTTGGGTTTCACCTGCCAAAAGTGTTGGGTCTTCCGAAGTTTCTGTTTTGACTGTGGCGCACATGAGAAACAGATTGAGCCGAGTCATTTATTGGGTCCTTTTTAAGACATGTAATTGATTATATATTTCAACGTTGTCTATACACAAGGTTCTGCAGTTCATATAAGGTCTATTTCTTGTTTGTATATATACTTATAAACGTTGTAATTCCACTCTGTGAGTTTTCAAACTATTATGCTTCACAACACTTATTAAACGGCTTTACTTTCATCTTTAAGAATTGTAAGTTTCAGTCCTGCATGTATTTTATATGCTCTACATATGGTATTAAATACGAAAATTAACTACATCATGTGTTTCCTTTTGCTTTCCATATTCTCGGTAATCTTATTTCCTAATAGATCACTGTGATGCCACTTGGTCCAAGCAGCAGTATTGATTTGGACTTTTATTAGTCGAGGTACAAATAGCCAAAGGACCATAAAATCAGTGCATTTTATTGTTTCATACTTTAATATTGGAGTGTTGAGATGAAATGTGCATGAGTTTCAGCTATTTCAAGAAAGTGTTATATACTCACATTGGAGTATTTTTGAGGTCTTAGTAAGGAGTTTTGGTCGCTGGTTGTAAATAACAATGTGAATGAAAATTAAATAAAGAGCCAATCTCATAATGTAACAATGTGATTTGCTCCCTCTAATGTAGTGTCAAAAACTGTCTTATATTATGGGAGGGAGGGAGTAGTTGTCTTATAATGCAGGGTTAACATTTACTCGAGTTGATTCTCACAGGAATAAATATTTCTGTTTTAAATTGAACAGGAAGGCAAAGAGCAGGCCGTCTATTTTGATGCTCGTGTTCTTGAAGTTCAAAGACGCAGGCATGATATAAGGGGTTGCCGCTGCAGGTTTCTTGTCTGCTATGATCATGATCACTCTGTGGTATTTCTCCTTCTTTCTAACAATGTTGAGTGTTCATGCATTTACTCTGGTTCCAGTGTTACACCATGCTTGGATATAAGAACTGAGGCTTGGGTCTTGGAGTTGCCATTCTGTTATAGGGATGTTTGCCTGCACATAGAATTTGATTGTGGACTTTATGACAACTACCCCCGAGCTGCCAAATCATACCTCCAGCCCTGTAATTTATATGTAGTTCGAAATAAATAACGTGCCTGGACATCAACAGATGAGTAGCTCGCCACGGTCCTTTGTCGACACATTAAAAAACATCCTAGTTTCTGCAGTCAACCAAAATTACTCTGTACCTCAACATCTGCAATTTCTTTGGCAACAGACAAAAACAAATCTGAATGTTCAAATTGGATTGATGGAGTACTATGTTTTTTGTTCTAGGCTAATTATCTGACTGTGTAGTCAAATAAAACAGCAAGCAAAGTGATGAGCTTAGTTTGTTTTATGATGTTATACCAAATCAATTTTTTTTGCATTTCTGTTTGCGTGACAGGAGACTGTTCCACTCAGCAAGCTATGCCGTCGACAAAAATCTATTCACATGCACCAGATCTTGCATGACAGATCGGCAGCAGCATCTGGAGATGCTCAGAAAGCCCAAAAGCCGCACAAGATCATGGATGTGAACCTTGACAAGGGGACCGGGGTTGCCATCCCACCAGATGAAGAAGAGCCATCTGACAAGCTGGCAGCTCCTTTACAAGCCGCACCTACTAGCCCCCACAACAATTTGGTTGCAGATGTTGAGATGGGGGGTGCAGAGGCTGCTCCAGACGGTGAAGCTGAACATGAAGCTGAAAACAAGATGAATTTGGGAGGGTAGTTGTTTCGCTTCCCTGTGCATTTTGTTGTGAACTTCTTAGTCCAAAAATTGTTCTCCTAGGAACTTCCAATCGAAGAAGGATGGTTTGCTGGTAACTGTGATGTGGCGATGTTGACTTGATTGCTTGTGTGGTGCTCAAAGTGTTGAATTCGGTATCTATATCTACATAGCTATGTCGTGAGAGAACATATTGTTTTGTGGTTGTATTATCGTATATCTGTCCATTAAGGTCTGCAGGTTATTTAAATGAGATTACCTATACAGGAACACTACCCGGGTCCACTTGCATGTTTGACCCTCAACACATTTTACATTTAGAAATCTTTGTGGGTTCCTTTGAGTTGTGTGCCACTAGTAGAAAACAGTGCTTTGGTCACAGCTCAATATACACATTAGTCCCGGTTGCATTACGAACCGGAACTAATGTGAGCATTAGTCCCGATTCAAGTGGCTAAAGGCATTAGTCCCAGTTCAAATGAGACCTTTAGTCCTGTATGAGACACGAACCGGGATTAAAGGGTGCGATGCCCTTTAGTCCCGGTTCGTATCTCAAACCGGGACTAAATATTAGACTTTTAGTCCCGGTTTGAGACAAGAACCGGGACTACGGGTGCAATGCTCTTTAGTCCCGGTTCGTGTCTCAAACCGGGACTAAAGGGGTTCGGGTCTCAAACTCTACCCCCTCCCCCCCGGTGTATCGCCATTTCAGTTTTGAAAGAAAAAAGAAAATGATAAAAACTTCAAAAAATAAAATCCTTCGAGATGTAGTTATATTACTACATCTACTAGTTAGGAAAATTAAAAAACTTAAATATGTACATATTTTGTAAAAAATGTTATGAAAAAGTAAAACGGCTATAACTTTTGCATATGATGTCGGAAAAAAACGTATAATATATCAGAATTTTCAGCATGAAAATTCGCATCCAATTTTGACTGCCATAGGCCGTTTTGCAAATTTTTAGAATCCTCAAATTCTAAAAGGAAAGAAAGTTATGCTCAAATTTCAGTTTCTTTTTTGATTTTTGGTTAAATCTGGTCAAACAATGGTCAAACTACTTATTCAACAAGTATTAGTGTCACTAAATATTTACTCAAGAATATTAGTGTTACTAAATAATTATTTAAGTTTTTTGAATTTTGGTCAAATCTAGTCAAACTGTGGTCAAACAATGGTCAAACTACTTATCAAGAAATATTAGTGTTACTAAATAATTATTGTTTTTTTAGAATAATAGTTTGAAACTCAAACAGTGAATCGTGTGACTTCATGCTCAAGCTAAACTCCTGTGTGACCTCATCTTACTATTGTTAGGAAAACAACAAGTGCAGACTTGGAAACGAGGAGGAATAGAACCCGGAAGTTAAGCGTGCTCAGGCTGGAGTAGTGAGAGAATAGGTGACCGGCCGGAAGTTAGATGATTTGGAATGCTGAGGGATGATTAGAGATTAAAGGTTAAATTGAGAAGTGATGCGGGTGATTAAAGACTAAATTGTAAAATAATTCAGAAATTTGAAAAATAAAAAAAATCCCGTAAAATTTCCTTTAGGGAGGTTGGTAACCGGGACTAAAGGTGGAGCTCCAGACAGTGGCCACGTGGAGGGCCTTTAATCCCGATTCGTAACAGAACCGAGACTAAAGCGG